AACAGGAAGGTGCTACAAGAAAAGATTATTAGTGCTGTTAAAATGGCAACGTGGCTCAACATCGGGCATGTTACGCTGGGGTGAGCCCCAAACCAGCAGTGACACAAATGGTGCTTTGGCAAATTCGAGGTGGTTGCAAATTCTAATTGTGCTTTGCCAGAATGCTTAAAGTTTGTTTTGCTGGTTTGCAAATATGTAGAATTGCAGTTTGTTTTGCCTGTTTTCCCTGCAGCTGCCACAGATGGAAAAGCTGGGGTGCTTGGGGGGGTTCAGAAGCTTGATGGTTATTTGGGGGGTGGGCAGGGGGGACCGTTATGAGGAGTGTTGTATTTTTTAATACCTTAAGTATTTTTGCCCAAAGAGAATGGTCTTGCCCTAAACTTTTGAGTTTTCCCTGTGCAAATTTTGAAGGGGTATTTGGACTAAAGCAAAGAAAGGTAGAGGGGGGACTGCAAAGCTCTGCCGTGGTGATTTCCATTCTCCTGTATCTTCCCGTTGGTACGGGGGAGTACCAAGGCTGCAAAGTCCAACTCCCATCATCTTCAGGTTTTATTTGCTGCTTTCAGCACCCTCAGCCTCTTGTTCTCCAAAGAAGTGAAATCATCTCAAAACCTCATTTATATACTCGGAGCCAGCCAATGTCATAGAAACGGGAACAAGGCTGTCTGAATGCTTAAGAGCAAGAGTGTATTTTTACAACTGTTAGTTACTTATATAAATGCCTCTGAGCTAACCTAATACATTTATGGGCAGGTCTGGAGGCATTACTGGGTGTTTCACTTGCACGGGTTTACTGTGAGCTGCTCTCTAACTCTTATTTCAAATTTGCAGTGTATATTTAAATGTTCAGCCAGGTTTTGCATATCATCAGTGTTTATCTTTACTTTTCCTCTAAGGCTGGTACAGATTTTAATTACTGCACATTTTGTAGTCCACTTAAGGATCAGTGCAGCTTGGCTGCTCTTAATTTTGTCAGAGATCTCGATGGAATTTGTTTACCAGGCTGCTGAAAGTAGGTGTCTATATTTATTTATGTATATAAGAGCACTGATTCCAATGCTAGGAACAAAAGAAATCACATAAACAATTCACACCAGAAGTCCTTACAATTCAAATGTGTTGCTTTAGTTCAGTTTAACTTTTGCCTGTTAAGTGAAAAATAAATTTGTGAAGCGCTGGCTTCGTAAGAGAAGCAGCTTTCCTGATTTTTCTTTTCACTTTTTGAAGGGTAGGGCTATAAACCTGGTGAAGCGTAACGTTAATACTGCATGATCAAGCAGAAAAGAGCCACTTTATTTTAGTAGCTTTGATTTGTCACAAACCTATCCTAATGCTTGCCTGTTGGTTGTTTGTACAGTTTTTAAGAAATATTACTACCATGGGCGCACAGGAGACAGTTACTTGGAAAAAGCACAAGCTAATGCTATTCCAAGCCTCGGCATCAATACCACCTTCTTGATGAATTCATCAGTGAGCAGATCCATGTCCCTAGAGAATCAAACAGGCACGTATGATGTGCATCATGGACGTGAAACTGCCGTCCTTAGTCTCATGTTGATGTTGGGTACCCTTTGGCTTGGTCATACGCTCTATCAGTTTAAGAAAAGGTGAGTTACTTCAGTCTTAGAGCTCAGACTGCTAATTATTTATGTTACCTGTGAGGAATCGCTGATGGCTTAGACCTTAATTTTGTAACCCAGAAAAACCAGGTGGAACTCTTCCATTAGTGGTGGTAGAAGCCAAAGCCGGAGATGACCTTGGCTGGCCACCTGGAAAATGTCAGCAGCAGAACAAAATGTGCGGTCACTGGACGATGCCCTTCCGTGTTTGGTTTGGCGTCGCAAGTGACTTTGGGTGAACCATGTATTTCACGTTGGAACTTCTGTAATTCCTCCCAAATAGGCACTGAACCATTTTGGTGGGCAAAAATCCCTGACGGTGCTAGAAGATCTTCTGGGAATGTACTTCCAGTGTGCTCTTGGGAGTCAAATGCCCAGCTCTAATTTGGGTTTTACTCCCATTATCCTTAAAAAAAATAAAATAAATTGGAAATACTCAAGTAAGCAATTAAACTAAAGTGGAAATGAGACACAAATTGGTGTTTGGAGGTCTGTTTCCTAGCCTGCATTTTAGTTTCTTGGTTTTTTACGTGTTTTGCTTATGCATTCATCAGCCTTCAGAGATTATAGATTCCAGAGGATTTAAGGTTGAATTAAAAGCTAATTTTTCCCTCCAAGAATCTCTTTAGATTTGCAAGATTGGACTGAATTTTCACTTGTTAAAGTATTAAAGCTATCTGTATTGAGCAACTGTCCCTACAGTGTGGTGTTGATGGAAACTTTTTTTTTCTCTTTAAATCGCAGCCCATATTTGCACGCGAGAGTACGTGAAATTCTATCCGACTGTGCCTTACCGATTTCCGTTCTGACTTTCTCTCTTGTGGGTTCCTATATCTTCAAGGAAATTGAAAGTAAGTTCAGTTTTTATTCTCTGTAATACTGGGATGTAAGAAAAAGAGAAAGGAAATCCTAGGAAAGTTTAGCTAAAAAAAAAAAAAGTTCTTCCGTATAATTTCACAAATACCGAGTGTACTTCTCACCCCCGCCAAGAGCTCAGACTCCCTCAAGATTAGATTTAATTCATTCAAAAATCAATCAAGGCTGAGTGAAGTTTTCTAACTAGACAAATTATTCCAATGTGTCTTTGCATTTGAATGTAATTTAAAGTACATATCTCTTAGAATAAGAGGATCAACAATTTCTGGGAAAGAACAAAGGGAGTAAAGTAATTAGCAGGCAGGAAGGGTTCTTGCCAGTCAGAGAGCTATAGAGTTGCTGATCCCAGTCTGTCCTCTTTGTCTCCAGTTTACGTTTTCCTATTTTAGGTGAAATGGTGCGGAGCACCTGGGCAGTTCTAAGTTACACAAGGAAATCTAAAAATGAGACACCGTTCATTGGCCAAATAGATCAGCTTTTCCGTATCAGGAAGCGATAATGGGGACAGGAATTGCATTGTCCTGTGGTGACGTGAGTGGGTGATGTGAGGAAATGTATGGAAAAAATAAGAAATTACTTTTTTAGGGCTTTTTTTGTCTGTAATGACCATTCCATCCAGTTGGATTGTAAAATGATGTGTGGCCATGTGTGATTTATCTCTAGTCATGGATTTCTTCCAGTGACAGGAAAGTAGGGGCATTTTTTACAAAAATGTCTTGTACAGCTTGTTGGATATGCGGAAGTTTTAGAATGCTTATGTCACTTGATTAACCGAGCAGGAGGTGTATGCTGCTAGTTAGAAATAAGGTTTTGTAATCTAAATATGCCTTGTGTCTGTGGAAAACAAGTTTCCCTCTTTTGTTTTGCTCAAATGTATGTAATGCCTCACCAGAACTAGCAGTAATCTGTCAAATCAGGATGGCAGCCAAGTTCTAAGAGGACGGAGGAAAAAATAAACTAAACCAGCCAGATGAGCCCATATTCTCTTGCCTTCTGGCTCCCACATGCCAGAGCATTTCGCCTAGTTTGCTGCGTTGGCTCCCAATAGTTCATGGTGCAGGTAAAACATAGCTGGGGTGGATGGTTGGACGTGACAGTGCCTCCTAACGTCATTTCCCTTCTCTTTCCAGTGTCTAAATTTAACTACAACCCATCGGAGCGCTTGTTCGTGCTGGCCCCAGTTCAGTCCCTCTCCATCGGGTCAGTGATGAGCGCCATGGGGCTGGGGTTCATCCTGTCGATGCTCTTCTTCATAGAGCAGAACATCGTGGCATCACTCACAAACGCTCCAGAGAACAGGTAATGCTTTTGGTACTCTTCTTCCTCTGTGGAGAGCTGTCCTCGAGTCTCTTCCCAGAATTGCTTGTCCAAAGCTTCATATCAGGAAAGATACTCGGGACATGTCCTTCAGAACTTGTGTTGTTGCAGACTAGAGTAACTCTACTGCCTAACTCCTCACCATTCCAAAAACCCAATATTGTGGCAGTGAATCAAAAATGCAAAGCGTCAATGAGCTCATAACCTCAGCCTGTTACTTCTTTACCTACATGTGAATGTTACATAGATGTTTTGTATGGTTTTGAGGTCTGTGGACATACCTCCAGGTATTTAGGGAGTGTCTGACGCATGTGGACACTTGCACTGCTCTTGCAGTACAGAGAATCTTTTGAAAAGGAAGAGTCAATGACCTGCATAAATGTCATACAGAGATATGCTGCGGGTGAGCTGCAGAAAGTGTTAGTCTCCAGCTGAAAAGGTAGAAGTGAAATAAAACAGTATATCTAATGTCTGATAGGTCTGGTTTATGTGCAAACTTGAGCTGAGATGTCACACTATTAAAATATTCCCTCTTATGTTTTTGTGCCAACTGCAATCAGATATGATATCAGGAGGGAATATGTATGACTTTTTTTTTTTTTTGCAGGGAAACTACCATGTCTCAGAATTTTTGTAATGTAATGTGTGGGAGGGTTTTCTGCTTGCATAACACAAATTAGCATTCTCCATGTTGTAGCTGGAGTGACACTGAATTAGGAGAGAGAAGACAAGCTCAAATTCAGTTATAATTGGTTTTCTTTGACCACATGATTTCCCTCCCCTTATCTTTATTATATCCTTTTAAGTGTTGCATGAATCTGTGAATCATCTCTTTCCTAATACGAGTCTTTTCTAAATTTTTTGTGTTCTCCACCAGAGTGTCTTTAAAGAATGTAAAATATTTTTTTGGAGTTCTTCACTGTGTTTTTTGGAATGCCTTATTATGGGGCTGAGCTTATGCCAGTCAGGTATCAGGACGTGTGGTTTTAGAGACAGGAAAACTAGGACTTGACACATTCATTCTGTGGTACCATCACAGAATAAAAACTCTTGTCTGTACTGGCCAAATGGAGAACATGCTGTTTGGTGGTTTAGCAAGTGTAGTGATTTCCTCCTACCAAAAAGAAAAAAAAAAAGGGGAGGGGGAAGAGATGATGATTGTCTGAATGTACACTGATGTGCTCTGCTAAAGAATAATCAAAGCAAGGACACAGGACAGTCCAAGGAACACTGGGCTGCTGGGGCAGTGCAAAGGTAGCCTAAGTGGTGTGTTGGGCTAGACAAGCTCAGTGGAGCCTCTCCCTTGGTCAGAGCGGATGTATCCCACACGTGGTGCTGCAAGACTGCCGAGACCAGTGTCCCAAGGAGACTAGATGGCCGCTGCTGTGAGACGTAGGGCCTTTGTACACAGAAAGCCCTCTGAAAAGGGCAGATGAGACAACCAAATGCTAACCCTGGGGACACTGGAGGTGCTGGAGCAGGGGCTGTGCTTTCAGAGCATGAGCCGGTGCAGGAAGCATGTTTACAATCCCACCCTTCCTTCCAGCACCTTTCAGTTTCAGAGGCATCGCAACGTGGATGTCTACCTTAGTCACCCCCTGGCCTCCGCAATCGATGGAGGTGAGCACTTCCAGTGATTCAAGTCTTTTTGTTCTCAAGCCAAACCCCACCCGAGACTTCTGCTTCAGACGGTGGCATCTGCTGCTCCTGAAGATAGACATTAGGCATAGATCTTCATCTGTTGGGTCATGTCTGCTAGCTCCCTGCATGCTCCAGGTAGCGTTACGACACCTAAATGATGCTCCCTTCCCAGCTGGTGGTACCTGGAGAGCAATTTCCAGCTGATCCCTTGTGTTGTGTGAGGGTGGCAACTGCTGTCTGCCCCAATGGCCAGGCAGAAACACAGCAATAGACGTTTGAGTTAGGTATCAATGTCTGAGAGATGATTCCTTCCTCAGCCTTTTTTCTAAAATTTGCTCCTAGTATCTGAGCATTCAGTACCGGATGGGTATATTCCGGCAGGGGCAGACCTTGCAAAAAAATGACAGGGTGAAACTAGATGTGAGTTCAGCGTTAGCGTCCGCTCTCCGCAAAGAGAATGTGAGCTGCTTTGGTGAAGGCTGCAAGTTTCCTCCTCCCCGACAAACAAAACAGGGAGACTACCCAGCATTCACCAAAGTGAGGAGCACATCTCCTTGGCTGACTCCTAAGGAGGAGCTGAAGCTTGATAAATCCATGTCCCATTTTCTTACCATGCAGTAGCAATTACATAATTAGGGGATTAGTGCAACGCACCGAGCATGTGTTCTGCTTGTGGGAAAGGAGAGAGATCAGGGTGAGAAACAAGTCAGATGGGGAACTTTAGTATCAGTAGTTTGGCAACCCCTAACCAGGTTTCTAACCACTCTCCACGTGGACTCTGCTAGCAGATATACGTGTATCTCTGAGTGCACTCTGCATTAAATATAGTGGCAAAAACGCTGATGAAATTTTCATGGGCTGTTGTTTTAGCGGGCTGCCTTTCTGCTCAGTGTTGTTCTTTCCAGGAGATGACTGCTTTGGGAGCAAACTATCAAGTTGCATTACCTCTCACATTTGTGTAACGCGGACTGGAAAGCAGGAGGAGTGTCAAATCTCTCTGTGCATGGAACTGCGCTCCGGTGTTTAGCATCTGAGCTCAGGTTCAGCGAGGGCAGCCTGTTGCAGTCTGCACGGGGTGTAACTGTTGGCCACAAAATCCTCGTTTCAGGTTGGTGAAGGGAACAGCTTATCACTGGGACCTCCTGCTCGTCGCGCTGATTAACACGGGGCTCTCAGTCTTCGGCCTCCCGTGGATCCACGCCGCCTTCCCTCACTCCCCCATGCACGTCCGCGCCCTGGCCTACGTGGAGGAAAGGGTTGAAAACGGACACATCTACGAGACGTAAGTAGGAACTGCGGCGCTTTCTTAGATCTCTTTGGTTTCGTTTGTGGTTTCCTAATCCTTTGGGTACAGCGGTTGATGTGGTTGGGGAGACGACTGTCTTGAATACCTGCAAGATATGAAGGTGGAGGAGAAATGAAGCCATCTCAGCCAGCATGGCGTTTGACCTGGCTTCATCCCCCTTCACCAAAGTGCTTGTTTTAAGATAGCCACAAATTTATGCTCTTCTCAGTGGTTGGCACTAGCCTGCAGGGATTCCGCACACTCTGGTGCAAATTCTTCTCTGGAGGAGCTGGCCAAGGCCTTTTTCAGGTCTGTCTTTGTGGAAACTGAGGATATGCTTTGGCCAGATCTTTCCAGATGTCTTCACCAGAAAAAATCCAGTCTGATTCATTGCCTGAAACCGATCTGGTGTTTATTACAAAAGGTAGGAAAAATGCAGTGTTATTTCAGAGCTCCCATAGCATATTCCACCACGTTTCAGGAAGGCAAGATGCTTATTAAATTCTCTTGTTTTTAAGCAAAAGTGACTGTTAAGCCACGCCTGGGTCACCGCTTTCTATTTAAGACCATCTTTTTTCCTCTTCTGAGTTTTCTAACATACTCTTGTCAGAGACCTATTAAAAGAAAAAAATAAAAAAAATTGAAAACCTAATTTCTCATGAAACCGGCCCCAGAATAGAGATTATCTGGTCTATTTGATCTCAGTATGTTACAGTTGAGTGCTTTTACATCCAAAGTGGTAATTTCCACTCACATGCCATTAGTTTTAATTATCTTGTCTTGCTTTCCGTTTTCAAACATGCCACTTATCAAAAGTGAGGCTAAGTGGTCATTTACTTTGGAGGACAAAGTGGGTCTGTCTTTTAATTTCAGTCTTGCCTTCATGCTGTTCTTGGTGCTGGCTGGCCCCTCCCAACCTGGCCCAGCTGCTTTTTTGGGCCAGTGGTGGACAGATTTTTGCCTTCCACATCTGGAAATTGCCGAGTTCTGCTGTTCCCTGCAATGCTTCTACAGACTTTTCTTAGAGGATCAATCCCTTGGGCTCATATTCTCATTAATATATGTTGGTATTGTTTTTTCCCACAGCTCTATCTGTCTTGAATAAACGCTAAACTCTATTAAAAAAAAAAAAAAAGGCAATTTTGTAATTTGAAGTCTGTAGAGTTTTAATCCATGCCCTTGCTCTTGGTGTCCGTGATATGCTCCGGGATACCTCTGCTCTCTCTTTCATTGTCAGGTGCAGAATTTACACGTGGAAACGCACGTGCCAAGCCTCCCTCCTGTGTCTTCTGTTGTGAATTTTAATACCTGGTGGCTTTTTGCCTGCTTTGCCACGTGCTGTTTTGATTCCACATTCTGACTTCTCCTTGAAAAACCCAAGTCCGTTGCCCAAGCTAAGGACTACCTCCTGCCCTTGTCCTCTGCTCCTTCACGCAGCTGCCCAAAAAGAACATCGGGGAGCCCTTTTTGGCTGTGCTAACCTAGATATGGCTCCGGTGATTACCCTGAGGGGGCTGTGGGATGCCCTAATCTGCCACGTGTCCCCTTGCTGCGCAGCTCTTCGTCTGCTGGAGGCAAATCAGTATGTAAATGAGTGCTGTGCACTGGGTATTGGGAGGGAAAAAGGGAACAAGGATTTCCTAGTTAGTTGAACTCCCTTTGAGGCTGAAGCTTTTTGTTCTCTGCAAAGCAATGAGCTATAAACAGGAGGCTCTAAGCAATGTTGTCTTTTTCTTTGGTCTTTTTTTTTTTTCCCCCCTCTTAGCCAGCTCTGCTGGAAAAGAAACACACTGAAGCTCAATTAGAAAATCGGGTTTTCTTTCAGCGCTGCCTTTCTTGGCAGGCTCCTTCCCTGCACTCGAATCAAAGCTCTTAGCGAGGATGATATAAACAAGAATAAAGATCTGTCATGATGAAAGCAAAATTTTCTTCTCCCCTGTAGAGTAACCACTTGAGTTTCATGAGGCAATCTGCAAATCAGCTCTCATTACTCGTATGGAGGAGGTCGGGAATGGCTAATCCCGTGCTAGCCACATTTGAAGGATTCTAGGGAAATGAGCCTGGATTATGCTCTTTAATCTCTGTTAATTACTTAATTTCTAGTGTAGCACAGACTTTCTGGAGCTGTTTCCTCAAGGGCCAAACCAGATTCTGAAGATGTGCAAATTACAGGGTTTGTTCTGCTGACTTAATGTGACTGTGATGTCCTTACCCTGGAAATAAGAAAAGTACTAGAATTGGCAGAAGATCAGTTCGAGTCTGGGAACTTCAGCTTTAAAGTTCTCATGTTTGTTCAATTATAAGCAATTTTAAGTATATTCTGATAAGAAACTTTTAAGTGGCATTAGCAGGAGCTGGCAGTAGTGATTGCAGTACTTCTTGTATGTGACTAAAGTCTCTTCACTGCTGGGGTTGCTGCATCCCCAAGAGATGATAGAAGAAGATTCCATGAACTTCAGAAATCCGTTACCCAAGGGGCTGCTCCTCTGAGCTGTTCAGTATTTGCAAACTTGCATAAGATTGAAATGTGGTGGCCTCATATCTAGTTTTGATCCTGGGCTCTTTGGTTTGCATGAATTCCCTTGCAAAGAACCCAGAAGACTTGTGCGTGCTCAGACTTCATGCTTGCACGTCACGAATGTCCATGGCAGTGGGTGAGATTTTTGTCAGAAATAGCAGAAATGCTTCCTCTGTCACTTGCCTGGTGATGAAGCCAGGGGAAGTCTTGCTGTACCTGGGTGAGCAGTTAGTGCATCTTTTCACTCCTGCTTTTACTGGGCCACTTGAGGGGCTCGTAGCAGTCGTAGAATCATAGAATGGCCTGGGTTGGAAGGGACCTTAGAGATCATTTAATCCAACCTCTCCGTCATTCTGACCACTCCTTATCGGACTGTGAAACCACTCTGAGTTAGCACTTGCACTTTAAACTGCTTGGCTCTGCTCTTCTCCAAGACTTCTGTGGTGATCCAGACCTGGAGGCAATGGAAAAGATGCCAAACTGTAGCCACCTAGGTGATGGCCCAGTTGCTCCAGAGCTGGCAAGAGCAGGCTGCAGGTGAGTGCTCTGCTCTCCCTCAGGTTCTCCAGGCATTGGCAGGGACCTCCTGATACAGGAGGCTTGCAAGAGGATCAGAACAAAATGTGTTTGGAAGGAGGAAAGCTGTAGCTTTTGCTGTTTAAACTTAACCAAGGGAGGTTATTTAGAGGTTAACGCCTCCTGTGTCTCCTCTGTGTGTCCTGTCTTGGTAATCCTGGATAAGGTGTACAACCTGCCCCACTACTCACCGAGGAATTCAGGTGTTGTCCTCAGGACTTTGTTTGCAGTATCTGTTGTTCCTTGTGATCTTTCCTTAGGTCTTGTGACCACTCGTTTTAATTTTGCATTGTTATCCAAATCCTGAGAGCAAGCCTCAGGCTGTTTTTACCCTTTCCCCCCTCTTCTCTAAATACAGATGTGGATGGCTCCTTTATCCCCACAGCTTCGTTATCTTCTTGAATGTATAAACAGATTTGAAGTTCCACCTGACCTTACCCATAGAGGAAGACTCTCAAAAACTTAATATTGAAAGAATTCACTGGGAAGCAATCGGCTTTAGGGTAAAAGGGATTATGAAGTCCCAGCAGTGCATTTGCAAAAGAGGGAAATGTGTTTTGATAGATCTTGTGGCTGATTCTTGTTAAAAAAAAAAAAAGAAGGTTGAAGTGAAAAGAAAACAAAGCAGCCTCCCCTCACCCCTTGAGTAGCCTCTGAAAGTTGCTACGTACTTTCCTGACAGTCTTTTTTTAAGGGAGGGGGGAAGCTCGTCTGTGGTCTGTCAACTCTGGAAAATTTGCATTAATTAATTACATGTTTTGCATGGTAATAGACAATTTACAGCACGACTGGTATTATCCAGAGCAAAATTAAATTTCTACCTCTCTGCGTAGTGCTCTCAGCATTCCCTCCCGTATAAACAAGGAGATCCTCATATATATCAAAAATGCTGACTCGCAGTTGAGTGAGGTCGTTGCAAGAGGTTCATTAGTTCCCGTAGAAGTCAAATGAGTTTTCTTTTTGGATAGAAGCCAATTGTATATGCACTGGGTAAATCAAGGAAAAGATTGCTGCCCAGAAAGAGGATTCTTGCCTGGTTCTTCTTTGGCTTTGGGGTTGTTCTGCTTTTTGTGTGTGTGTGTGTATTTCTGTTTTTTTGTGGCGTGCTAAACAGAATTATTTCAGAGGGCAATTTAGTTCAGGATAGGATCCGTGGAGCTTTTGCAGGAGGGGAATTTGGCATTTTTCCAGCTGCTCTGTTTGAGCTGTGGATTAAGTGCCTGGCCGGGAGCCAGCGAGGCTCTGCCTTCTCAATGTCAGCACGGGGCCAGAAGTGCTGATCTCAGAGCAGTGGAGATGAGTTTCCCTTTCCCGAGTGGCACGTGTCCTGCACCTACTCACCCCAGCAATAAGCTTCCATGGATACTGCGTTATTATCCTCATCCCCTAATCCCTGTTTTCTTGCTTTCAGGATTGTGAGTGTGAAGGAGACCCGGCTGACAAGTCTAGTGGCAAACTTCTTGGTTGGCCTCTCGCTCCTGCTCCTCCCTTTCCCTCTCCAGTGGATCCCAAAGCCCGTCCTTGATGGCCTCTTCCTCTACATCGCGCTGACCTCCATCGATGGGAACCAGCTCTTTGAAAGGGTGGCTCTCCTGCTCAAAGAACAGGTACGCAGACCGGGGCACCAGCCTGCTGGAACAGAGAAGGAAATTCTGTTTAAAATCTTAGCACCAAACTTAGTAGGAAAAAATTCTTTACTGTGGGGGTGAGTGAGGCACTGCAGCATTTGCCCAGAGGTGTGGATGCCTCATCCCTGGAGGTGTCCAAGGCCAGGTTGGATGAGGCTTTGAGCAACCTGGTCTGGTGGTGAGATGTCCCTACCCAGGGCAGGAGAGTTGGAACTCCATGATCTTTAAGGTCCCCAAAACCTAAACCATTTGATGATTCTATAAAGCTGTGCTAGGAGCTAACGTGGAAAGGTGTTGGGGTTATCCTCAAAACTCATGTCTTCAGGAGGTTAATTTCCAGCTCTGACCTGCACTTTGCATATCCCTTTCACCTTGTTCTGCAAAGTGGGTGTGAAGCTTGATGTCTTTTAGTCTAGCCTGGGTGTTGCTGAGACAGGAGCAAAAAAAAGTCTGTTTCCATTTAAGCGGACAAATGAGTGGGAGAAAAATGCGGTGTCAGATAACACAAGTGGCGTGGTTATTGTTGGGCTAAAAAAAAGGTGGTAGCTGAATCGTTCGTGGAGTGACACTGCATCTCATCTATCTTTCAAATTCAGCATAAATGACTTTCTGCATTTCCCTGCCACAAAAGCATTTGAGCTTTCTTGTTCAGGGTGATGTCTTGGGTGTAATTCTTCTTTTCAATCTGTTAAGGATTGCTCTGGAGTCCCTATCTCCAAAAGGCAAAAATTGAGTGCATGAGTGGAACCAGGATAGCTGCTGCTAGTGAAGACACCCCCTAAACTGTGTAGAGGGAAAACTTAAAAATGCATTCAACAACACCTTTTTAAAAGAATACAATTGCACAAACTTGCTCACCAAATGTAAGATGTTTGTAAGTTTTAAAACCCCACTGTTGTGCCAGCTGCAGAGAGCATACATTTAAAAAAATAATAAAAATATTAAAAAGTGCAAAATATGCGGTGTCAGTAAATGGTGATCTTTGATCCCTCCAACCAAGCTTTCGAGCAGGTTTGGTGTTTGGTTTTTTGCTACGTTTTACACTTTCATTTTGACTTGTGTGTGAAATACCACAAGATAGGATTTTTAAGTCAAAATCAAATTACTTGCATTATTGAAACCCTTCTGATGTGGGATGAAAACAAATCTGGAAGACGTGTTTTTCAAGTGGTTTCTGTTACAGGAGACGTTGCTTTGCAGCGTAGGTGGTACCTGGGAGCAACAGCGAGTCTCCAGCTCACCTTCTGTTATGTAACAAGGGTCAAAGGCTTAATAAGCCCAGTATTTGGCAATGCCTCTCTGCTAATCTATCTTGATCTCTAATATTACATCCCAGAGGTTAAAACTGTGAAGATTACATTTGTCATGTCAGTTTTTTGAGTGAAGGCTGAATAGTTAGTGATGTACATGGAATATTCCTTCTGGTGTCAGTACAAATTATGTGTGGAATTTTCCAAGCTTCAGCTGGGAAAATTAAAAAGTATTCTCAGATATGGAGATCTCCCTTTTCTGGAAACCTTTTAATGAGTCACGGCACAATTTGAAATCCATCGAGTCTGTATCAATGCCAGCAGACAGTCGCTCATATTCTTCATTGATGTATAGACAGTGAGTCAAAGCCTGTGCTCAGGCATCAGCGAGGAACTGTCAAAAGAAACCACGAGTGATATTTAGCCTATTAATGTCACCATGGTTTTTGACTTGTTTCTTTTTTCTTTTTCTGCTGCTTTCTCAAAAAATCAATAGCTTACATGAGTTGAGAAAAATAACTGCAGTCTGAGCACAGTCTCTTCCCACACCTCCCCAATCTCATCTCCTGGACTTTTCCCTGCTGGGGTTCAGCCAAGAAATGGCACCGCCAGAGGCGAGCGTGGTGTCCGATCAGCAGAGGCTGATGAAATAATCAGGATCTTGGGTTTCGGGTGGAGAATCCATCCAGCGGTAACAACACCCGAACGCATCTGCTTACCGACACCCTCCCCTGTGCACCCCCATAGGCACTTCACATATTGCTGCAGAGCCCTGATAATCCTGCCCAGGGGAATCGTTACTGTACTTACCGAGATACTTTATTGCACTCCAGATGGTCCCAAAGGCCATCTTAGCTGTGTGATGGGTCTTTTCTTCTCCAGGTTTTTTAGTGCCCAGTCATCTTCTGTGCGTTGCTGCCAAAGCTGTGGTTTAAGGCGCTTGCTTTAACCCTACAAATCCTGCGTTCAGCTGTCGAGGGCTCTGATGTTGATGCCCTCTACGTGTGTGTAGATTGATGCCTTCTTTAAAACCCTTGTGTTCAGAAGCCTGTGCCATGTTTGCAGTTGTGACTCCAGGTCACTGCATGTCTAACAAGTAATTCTTCTCTTCCCAGACTGCTTATCCTCCGACACATTACATCCGCAGAGTGCCCCAGAGGAAGATCCACTATTTCACAGGCTTGCAGGTCCTGCAACTCCTCATCCTCTGTGGTTTTGGCATGTCACCGTTGCCCTACATGAAGATGATCTTCCCGCTCATCATGATAGGGATGATCCCAATCAGGTACGAAGCTTGGCCGCCTTTTGTTCTCTTTCCCATGCCTTTTGTCTTCAGGCTTGGACTGCAGGAAGTCTAAGTGGTCTGGAAGGGCATCTGTTACTTTTATGAATAGCAAGATCCTGGAAGTGGGTGATGGTGAGCCTCTTCTTCACCACTTGCTCAGGCTTGAGGAGGAATTGTGCAGAGAACCTGTGATTTCACTGATCCTGTTATGTAAAGGGTTGTGGGCTGGCAGGTACTCTTCCTCCAACCGGTGGAGAGGCCAATAAGCCTCCTTTTGCAATTTGTGAGATGCCTGGTTTTTTCCCCGAGATGCTGTAGTCTGAGCCTTCCCTCTAGGTGGTGTTTGATAATGTTTCTTCTTGTTTTGCAGTTTGATTTCTGAGGGCCTGTGCTTGGAGCAGAGCTAGAAATTTTACCCAAGGGGAATCCTTGTCTCTTAACCAGTGCTGTGGTGACTTTGCAGACCTCTTGCACTGCTAAATTCTATTGCCAATGGTCAAACTAGCCGGATTTAGTCTTAAAATGTATCTTTAAAACTGGGAAGACCCCAAAATATCTTTCAGTCTTGAGAGAGAATCATTGAGAAATTCAACTATTTTCCTCCTTAATGTTCATTAACAGTGACTGCTCGTCATTCTCCAGTTAAATCATTCATATTCTCCATCCTTTGGACATAATGAGAAGCCATAATAAGATCTTGGAAGGAACAGATCTGTTTCCTGTCCATTTGATTATTTTTAGGCCAGCAGGGCATTCAGCAATATCTGGTTGACTTTGAGCTTGCAGCCTTAGAGATTTTCTAACTGGTCTCAAAGCTCAGGGCTTGCTCTGTGATAATTTACCAAGGCACCTATTGTGGTGTTTTCGTTGGATGAGAGAGATGAGTCTAGTTCTTTCTAAAACAGAAGCAAATGTCAAAACTAGCATGGCTTTCAACAGGATCAGGTTAGAGCCATTTGGGATGGATTTTTAAAGATAAGCAAAAACCTTGGAAATCGCATTGTTTTATGGCAGGAGTCTCTCACCTGCCCTTCACATAGGTGTCACGCTGGGTGATTGGTTAATTGGCTGGTAAATAGTTCAGGTGTGTGCAGTGCTGGATGGTTGACTTTTGTGGGAATTGCAAGTTTCCTCTGATTTTGTAATAAGAGCTAGAAGATTTAGTGGTGCAAATATATCTTTTCAGGAAATAAGGTACTGTCATCTTATACTAGCTCTGCTGACTTTTTTTCTGGCTATTTCTAGTAGCTGGATAATCAGCCCTGCTTCTAGGGGGAAGATGGTGCTACCCAGCACAAGACAGAAATTTGCCCTTGACTTTTCCTTTCTCTTGATTTTTTTTTGCCTTCATGTAATTTCTTTGAACTCCAGCTGAGAAGGCAGCACCATGATGCATGAGCTCTGCGGTTAACGATGACTTTTTCACAAAGATTTGGCTCTCTAAGTAGATGAGACAAAGTAGAAGAAATGAAATATCTTTTTTTGTTGTTGTTGTTGAGAAGCAAAGGAAAAAGAGAATAGGACAGTAGCCAGGGGTCAAAGGCAAGAATCAGACTCAGATGAGTAAGTCATGGCTCAGTGTCCCATCTGTGTCTCAAAGCAACATTTCCATCTGTCTGACAACATTAGACACATGATTTGCATTATCAGTGGTGAGGGACAATCTTTTTCCAGCGGCCTAGTGTTAAAGTGAAAGATAGTGGATTTCAGTGGCTTTTCATTATTGCAGTGGAGAACAGCCTGTTGGGAGAAAAAGTGGTCTCTTTTGGGTATCCCCAGTTCCCTGGCTTTAATTCAGAACTGTGGGCTGACTACTTTTTGGTTGCTTAGAGAGGAAAGAAAAATACCTTCTTTCCAAGTTCTCTCTGTGCTCCCATGGCTCTCAAGCATTTTATTTCATGACAGGTCTATTTAAGCAGATCTTGGTACTTCCCAGCAGTTAAGTGCTGTTGGAGATATCTTTCATAGCTATTGAAAAGGCCCTTCCAAGCCTGAAACTGGATTTCTAGTGCTTTGTGCCTTATTTTAACAGCCTTGCTTCCTGTGAAGCAAGGAAAAGTGTCCAACTAAATATGAAGTAAGATTTTAGTGAGTGCAACTTCATAGCATATTGTTACAGGGCTATGTCCTTCTCACCTAAATATGTTAATTAAGAATGTTCTTGCAAATAAACAAACAAACCAAAAAATAGTAAACCACCAAAGCAAAAAAATCCACAAAAATACTACCTTAAAAGTAAGGGAATCACTGTTTCCACGATCCAGTGAAGAATCTAGACACTGGGCAGGAATGGAGTCTTACCAGCAGCTGGAGAAATGAATGTTGCTGCTCTTCTTAGCCTCTTGCTGTGGTCTCAAGTCTTGCTGATATATTTAGTGTATCTCCTAAAGACCAGAGCTTCTTGTTGGTTTCTTAAATCTTCTTTGTGGTGAGAGCTGACAAAGGAGTGACCTGGGATACATGAAGAACTGAGGAGACAAACAAGCTTGGTATGCAGGTCTTTCAGCCAATATTCCCATTATGGGGAAAATATTGAAGGAAGCAGACATGAGAAATAAATGGTGTTTCTTGGCCAAGTAACCCATCCATTAGCAAACTGGAAGCAGCAGGGAGCTGCTACCTGCCTCCGCAGCACAACCCGGGAGCGTAGCTGTGGGCCAAGTGAGATGGTGCATTTTTGGCACCTTGAAGACTTTCCAATGACAGAGTGCTCTAGGAAAGCGACTTTTCTACTGTGAGGATGAGAGTGTTCTGTTTACTCTTCAACTTCCCAGAGGAGCTCCACACTGTTATTCCTATAAATGCTGGATTGCAGGATTTTTTGTTCTTTTACTTTCCCTCTGCTTCATCTCCCCCTCAGCTGGGTGAATCTGTTGCCTGCATGGCCACGGACAAACTCGGCTGAGGATCTTGGAACAGACAAAATGTTACATGACTATAAACAAGCACTTAATGCTTTCTCTCTGGTTCAATCTTAGGTATAACCTGCTCCCTAGGATCATCGAAGCCAAGTACTTGGATGCTATGGATGCAGAGCATTGAACAGGGTCCTCCACTCACGGAGCAGTGAGGAGAGCTCTTTTGGAGTTGGAAGGTGGCTTTGCCGAGGCGTAGAACAATCTCTCTGCAGTTCTTTCTTTCACCACTTTCTTTCTGCTCTAATATGACGTTGGTAATGCACACGTATCAAAGACCAAATGAGTGTTGAAGTGTCAGACCAAAACAGCCTTGGACTTGGGAGGCCGATGCTTTTTTGGAGCTGTGAAGCAAGCAAGCTTTATGGAAAATATTACTTTCCACATCCCAAAACTGGAAACCCCAAAGATCAGCATGTCTACGGTTGGAGCATGCATTCTCAGAGTTGTTATGTGTTCCTGTGTTTGAGAGTGGGGGAATATCTCTCTTTTCTTTTTTTTTTTTTTTCTTTTTATGCACCATGTCCATTTCTTCTAAAACACTATAAAGACAGCAACTGACCTTTCTTTTACAGAATGACAGCCTGGCCTTTGAATTCAATTTTCCATGCATCCAGTGTTCCCAAATTGGTGTTCTGGGTGGGATGGCCTTGTGCTAAACCTCTGATGTCAGGAGAAAAGTCTGGCCATCTCTTCAGATTAGTGGGGTTGGAAAAAGATATAAGTTATATTGATACAACGCATAACTTTAGATAAATATTTAATTCCTACAAATGAGCTGGAAATGTTCAGAGGTTGGGCTCACGTGGCAGTGTTGATGAAACCACATCTGGGTCTAAGCTATTTGGGAATTATTTTGGGATCCGGCTACTGTTACTTCTCGCTTATCAAACACAGAAGTGTAGTTTTGCACAGCTGCAACATTTGTGCTTGCACCCAGAGTCAGATGCTGAAGCTCGTCAAAGGGCAGTTGCGTTAATGACTGCATATACATATGTACAGTAGTGCCTATGTGTACATATATACATATGGATTTGTGTATATATTTTGCATAGATATACAAATAGGCCTGATTCAAAATATCAAGAGTGTTTTGCGCAGTCAGTGTTACCCGTGATTCCTTGACCATGTACTTGTTCTCTGCTTCAGTGCTGCTTTTTCTCATTTGAAATTTGGCCACTTTGTTGTTGTTGTTGTTTTTTTCCTTTTAAAGCTGCTCTTTTCCTTTATTCAAGGTGTTCCTTTGCTTTCTTCTTCCTGTGGCTCGAGACCTTCATCATTCTGTCTTAGTGCTCCAACGTGTGAATTTTGCATTTAATTTTAATGTACAGCATGTGATGGAAGTTTTCCTCTTTCACCTGCTCAATATTTGTTGACCATTTCATTTGTAGCTAATGCGCGATTTCCCCCACTCCCAGACGTTATATTATATTTCTGGATTAATCTAACTTCTGCCGTCTTTTATACTTCAGTTTATTTAATTTAGCTTGTACTATGGTCAGTTTTCTTATTTGGAGTACTGTGAAACAAGCTGCCCTTGAGATCAGTGCTTGCCCGTTGCTGCACACTACAAATTACAGGTAAAGTGTTCAGAAAAATGTGGACCTCTGAAGATAATGAACTTTCAAAACAATAGAAACGAGGGAAGAGGAAATATAAAATAAAATGCAAATACATTATTTGCACAGAGAAGTGTTTCTTACCAATTGCTTGCCCAGTAAATGGTGCAGTTTTGGGGTTTTTTTTATCAGCACGTGCCCTACTAATTGTATTCCTCTGCATAATGAGGAAGACCAACTCTGTAATGAGGGAGGAAGGCATTGGGTAAAAAGTTCCTACGCTGAAACTAAGCCAGACTCAAGCCACTGAAGATTTGATGTATTTGCATTAAGTATTAGGAGGTATTTCATCTTAATGCAGCTGCCTACAGCTTTAAAACACGAGTGGAGAAAACTAAATTTTTATTTTCTTATGAAACCCTTGCCTGATAAGGGACGTGACAGCAGGTATAAATTCCACACGTGGTTTCCGACCGTCTTCATCAGCGTTTCCTGGCTTTTGAGTCATTTCTGTGGTGAGATCGCACAATAGCTGTTACCGAGGTCTTTGTGTAGAAGCAGGGCACAGAGAGTCAGCAAACAGGATTTCGGGGCAGTGCAAAGGCGGAGGTGGTAGAAGCGTGTCTCGTCTTCAGTCGACAGAAAAAGAGCAAGTGACAGCCAGCAGTTCAGTACCTGTTGTCAGACAGGAGGGAGCGCGAAAGCCTCACGACGCTTAAATAACGTGCTTTTCCCACGGACGTCAAAAGAATTAGCCCAAACTGGGATCAAGTCATTCTCTGGTTGAGTAAGCGTTTAAATGCGCGTATCCTGGGGGTTGCGTTTCTGGTGTCTCGGCTCTTGGCAGGAAGAATTCACCCCGTGGGATGGTTTAAATCGGATCGTGGGCGCTGTGGCTGGAGGAAGGAGAGGATGTGCCCAGGGGAATGTGGCTCTGATCCTCTTCGAGGAAGAGCAGAGGCCCTGGGTGAATTTTCCTCCAGCACTGAATGTAGTGGGGTGAACTGGCATGCAGATCTTGCCAGAGGAAAGAGTTTTGAGACGTATCCTCCATGCCCCTCACTTAGCAGGACCAAAAATGTCCCCCTTTAAAGCCTATTTGAAAGTATTGGTAGCAGATAGTGTCAGATGTTGATGGCAGAGACCATTTAAAATCCACATAGCTTGGGGAAGTTAAATATCCGTCGCGAGTCTTGTTTCTGTCTTTTATTGCTGTTGCTTTGCCAGTATGACTTCAGCGTCTGTATTTTCTTTGTGGCATCAATAGGATTCTGGTTTGAAGGGGGTTTCTTTTTACAGAAATCGGGACCAAAGAATCAACTGATGGGAAGTCAGCACGGCTCGGGGGGGAAAAGGTTGTGCTGGCTTAGAGCGGTTGAATATTTGGACCCATAACTCTCAGTATGGGTAGACGGGAGATGTGAGACTCGAGGTCTCAAAGAGGTTTAATGATTCCACAGAGGATTTATTTTATTTTCTTCATACAAGTACCTTTTCTCTTCTTGTTTGCTTCTGGTTTTGCTGACGTAAGTACAGGTGTTTCCAGGAAATAGGCTAGCTAGGGAAGGAGAGTTTGTTCAGAGTTGATTGAGCACTTTAATACTTCTGTGAAGGTTGAGACAATTAGAATGTAAAAGGAGTTTTTATTATAAGCTCTTTATATACGCACAATGCTATGTATAACTGTTGCCAAAGAACTGGGTTTGAAAGGTGTTGGTGGCTATTAAGACAGTTCATGATGTTCACCTGGAACTGCAAGGTAGTGAAAAGCTGCTGAAACGAGTGGATTTTGGAAGTTCCCTTTTGACAGCTGCCAAAACGATCAGAAACTGAGGACAGAAGAAACTTCTACTCTCAAACTTGTCGGTTTGGATCCTTGCATTGAATGTAGGAGCTAGAAGTTGGCTTGACAATTAAAATTGGGTTTATACCTGAGTAGTTTTGTTGGTCTGAGACTTATTTTTCTGCCTTCAAAAACACTGTTGACACGCTCCATATGGAAATAGATGTGTTTCTCTGTGTAAATTAAGGGAAGTTGGTGCAAACCTGGACTGCTGAACAGGCAGTGTAGCACTTTCTAGATTGCTTAGGAAGCGAATCTGACAACTTCGCTAGCACCAATCCCCAAATTCTCTGGCGTCAACATTTGAAGCTATTAATAAATGCCAAACTCTACTTGGATACGCATCAGTGCGTCGCTGCAAGAGGACGGGGGTGGAGTGGATGAATTCAGCTGGTTTGCTTCAGAGCTGACGTCTGGTGAAATGCTTCCACGCGTGCCCGACGGCTGTGGGACACGACGCCTCCCAATGACCTGTGTGAACTGGGATCCTCTGGAAAGAAATACAGTAGATGGTCACGTTTCCGTAGACCGTTGCGTCAAGCGATTCTCCCCAAAAGCGCCACGTCCCCAGCTGTACCAAAAGACTGAACTGTTTGTAAACTTCTTGTGCATCCTATCTGGCTGCTTTAAACTGCTGCTGGACTGTGTTCTGTGGACACTCATGAAGTTGGCCAAAGCTGGATACGTAACTGGAGAGAACACTTTGGGGTGAGAGGGAAGGGGTTTTTGTGTGTGTGTATGCGTGTGTGTGTGTGTGTGGAGTGCTCAGCAACAAAAAAGGGACCTGAGACATGCCATGTCACCAAAAAGCACCTTCCAGTTTCCAGTCTGTGTCCCACTAAGCATGTATCTACACTGCCTGTTGACATGTGTTGATGTTATTCCTTCATCAAGCTTATTTTCTGGTTCGTTTTATTCTAAATCTGCCCTTTGTAGTGTTTCTACCTGCCTCGAAAGTTAATGAACGGAGCCAGGGTTGGCTCAGGCTCCAAGAGATGGTGTCTGCTCCCCCAAAAACTTCCTACCAAGCCATTTTTTTTGCCATCTCCTGACCGAGCTCTCTTCTTCCTCGACCCTTCTCTGGAAGCTGGCTCTGGCATCCCCACTGTGGCAATGCCGCCAAAGCGCCGAGTGGGAATTTTGGAGAACTTGAGCCTGCATCTGAGCAGCAGCATGGCAACGGCTGCTCCCTTGGGGCTCGCTTTGCCATAATAGGCAGTGATGGATCCTTCTTAATTGTCCTACAGTTGCGCTGTCTTCTGCATCTCTTTAGATGATTGCTTTATGGCGCAGTGTTCCAGTTGGGTTGTCCTCTTTTCAACTGTCAAGCTTCCAACACAACTTAAATAGACATAATGGGATGGGTTTGCCCCATTTTCTGTCTGTGCTGAGGCCTGTGGATGTTAGAAGAGAATAGTCTTTTCTAATTGTTTTCATATCTAATTAAGGCATTTAAATACCAAGCTCTGTCCATTACACTTCTGGCTGCAGGTCTGGTTGCAAAGAGCAAACCATCAATATTGTGTAAAGAGCAGACAGAGGAGGGTGCTGCCAGAGTACATGCTTTAGAAATACAAATTAGCACTTTTCATTTTTTGTGTCTTCTCCTTTCAAACTAAGACAATCCTCGGCTCGGTCTGTCTTTCCGTTGTAGAAAACTTGATATGAGCTTAAATCGCTCTGTTGTCGCATTAGGTCTTAAGAGCCTGCCCTGGGGGGAGATGCTGCCTTCTGCTCTCCATCTGCATCTCTGCTGCAAAAAAAGGTGCTTGTTTGGAGAGCAAAGAGCGGCTCTTGGAGCAGAAGAGAGGATGGAGGTGTCATCCCAGTCGGTCATCGGCGCGACAGATTCCTGCTACTGCAAAAGCCGCTGATATCCCTCGTAGAGCTGCAGGTGGGAGTCCCAAAAGTGAACAAGGTGGTAACAAGTTGGAGAAGACAGTTTGCAATTAAATTCTCTCACTCTTGACCTGAGCTATGCTGGTTTTTTGCTCTTAGCATAAATAAAAAAAAAAAAAAAAGGAGCACTCTAACAATAAAGTGTTTTCTACATGATCAGTGTTTTGTG